CGCGGCTCGTGTATATACACACACACACACACACACATTTTAAAGAATGGGTTGGGGCTTGAGGTCCCCAACTCACCCTATTGGTTCAACCGTCGTCAGGTCTGGGGGCGACCAATGTGCTTAAATATTCAAGGACCACCCCCTTCAAACCCCAAACTAGAAGAGACTTACACCACCAAAGCGGATGCTCTACCAAATGATCTGGGATATCAAAAATAGATGTTAACTAAACAACATTTCAAAAAAAATTGAGAGGGATGAATACATACAGACAACCGAAAACATTGATATTTATAAATTAACCACGCATATGATTTTTTTGAACTACAGAACCGATGCATTTACGCGTGCCACGATGAAACAAATGATAATTTGAAAAAACAAAAAAAAATATGAGTAGGGGTTTTAGCATGAGTTTTGGTAGTTGATTGAGAATTTGAAAAATGGATGGAAGAGTCGGATTGATTTGTAAATAGCAAGTTTCGAGTTATCCATATGTAAACCAACCACTATGAGCCCCAGAGACAAGAAGGGAAGCTAATCCCAAAGCTAAGAAGACAACATTGGGAGCCATTGTTGGGTGATAGAATGTGTTTCTTCCTTCACAAAATCAACTCCCCCTTTTAAAAAAGCTAAGGGAAAGAAGATGATCTCTGCATTTGAAACCTAAGTTATAAATAGACATAAGTCAGTGGAGGCCAATGGTGCTTGTTTCTCTGCCCTCCTCTTATGATGGAGAAATATGTAATTTAAGGAAATTAGAGGAAATTTTATGCTATTTATAGTTCTATCTCTCAACCCCTTTAACTAAACTATATATTAATGTTAGAGGTATTCACTTAAATACCTCACATTTTTTATATATTTACGTATTTAACTAAAAAACTCTTATCTTTTACGTGCATGCCGGACAAAGAAATATTGCTATCATTAATTTTTGTGGTACTGAAGTCTTATAAATGTGATTATCAAATTTTAGGTATTAGAGAGGTAAATATATAAAAAATTATGTGGTATTTATGTAATTTTTCTTGATTTTTTTTTAATATTGTGGTTTTGCTAGGGAGGAAATGTTAAATTGTTTCTCCTTATTTGTGAGTGTTTTAGCTTGTTATGGATTTGTGGTGTGTTTGAGTGAAAATAACCATACTTAGTGGTAAGGGATTAATTTTGTTTTGTTTGTTTGTTTGCCTTTCATATCACATCAAAAACATCATCATTTTAAGTTTAGAAAATCAAAATACATATCTTCATATATAGGGAAGGTATGTATGTAAAAGTTGAAGTTTACATGTTATATGTGTTAATACATAGGATTAAGTGGTGTATATATATGTAAATCTTTCAATGTTTAAATGTTATTTTTGTTAGAGTTTCTTCTTACAAAAAAGAGAATACACGCACACATAAAAAATATGTCAACGTTGATCTTAAAGAGATTCGATGATATAGTGGAGAAGCGTACAATGAAATCTGACATGCTGTCAAGAAATCATGAGAACTGTTTGAACAACCGAGTAAAATTGTATGAACGAAGTGTTGGCATCAGTTTTTGATGTCACGTGTGTAGGGTTTACACTTGATTGACTCGAGATGATTCATTGTTCATTTGTAGCGCCTGTAATTCAGGTCACACGTTTGAGACTTACTGGCACATACTCGAGGTACGAAGCCAGGGTTCCTGATGATTCAACCTTACACAGGAAAATCCACCATTGGACAGGATTATTCAAAGCATAAGACATGTTTGATGTATATTCTTGTGTTTAGAGTCCATAATATATTCATATGGAGTTTCTCGTTGACAAAGGAATCCATCGAAGCTTCCCATGGGCGTTCCAGAAAGATTAGAGTTTAGAGTGGCGTACCCGCAGAGTGATTTGGAGAGCCCATCGTCCCCAAAATCATCGGTGTAATGCCCGCTAAAAATACTTATCTCCGAGATTATTGGACTTTATTTCACTCATACACCGCAAGCGTCAACCCTAGGATCCTATGTGAGGGCATAAGCACAGGCACAATTTGCAATCAAGCATGTTGGTTTGTCTTGGATTGCACTGCATTTTGCTTAGAGCATGTTTGTATGTTAATTTGCTTCCATCGGCCGTCTCAGCCCGGTCAGCATTTCACATTACTTCGACCAACCGCCCCGATTCAGTCGACATGTCACATTACCTCAATTGCCCCCAGCCCGGTCAACATTTCACATTGCCTCGATCGGCCGCCCCCGACCGGTCGGCATGTCACTTTGCCTCTATCGGCTACCCTAGCCCACGACATGTCAATTGGGTACGACCGGTCGACCAACCACCTTAGTTCGACCAGCCACCCCGGCCCAGTCACAGAACAATTTGGTTTGCCCGGCCACTCTGGCCATGTCGACTGACCATTTTAGCCTGACCAACCGCCATGACCCGATTGACATGTTACTTTGGTTTGACTTGCCACTCCAATCCGGTTGACCGATCGCTTTGGTTCGACCAACCGCCTTGACCCGGTTAACCGACCAATTTGCCTAAACCAAACACCCCGACCCAGTCGTCATACTACTCCGGTTCGATCGGCCGACCCCGCCCAGTTGATCGAACACTTTGGTTCCACCGAACACCCCTGTTCGGTCGATCGATCGCTTGCATGGTGCATGGTGCATGTTGTGCATGTGCATGAGTTTGGCCTTAATGTGCTTTGACGTATTGAGATTCCTTGTCGGGATGATTCAGTTGTTTTGCATGCTCCCTATGCTAATAAGTCTGTTGCTTATTTGGGACCTCCGCCTGTGGCTTAGCAGGAGTTTTTAAAGCATCTGAGCATTCTCCTCTCTTACAAAATAACAACCCTTTGATAGCCCTCTGCTACTTGTCACTTCTAATGTAAACAAAACTCCCTATATCAAGTATATTCTTGGGCGGCCCCTAAGTTGTAATTAACCAAGTGTGATACATTCCCTTGAAAGCAGTCAAAACCCTAGAATAAACAAACACACTTGACACATCCTTGCAAGGTTTAACACACATAGACAAACACACGTGATACATTCTTTGGTTGTGGGCAGTCTATCTAAGTATTCTTTCGTAGAAATTGATCTAAGGTGCTTCTGTCTGATCTTATTTGGGCAAACATACTTGACATATCTTTGCAAGGTTTAACACACATAGGCTCTCTGCGTTTTATTTCTCTTATTCATCGTCTTTTTCGTATGTCTGTATTTTTTGTTTCCTCACTTCTCATAATCATTCACATGATTCAGAAGAAAGACTTATTTAGAAAAGAGAAGTATACGACGATGGACAAATTGATGGCTCCTTTAAAAATGGAAAGAGGAATTAACAAAAACACTGCCATCCGTAGGAGATCGTGAGCAACACGCACTTTGTCTATATGGAATGACACGAGCTTTGAAGTCATCAGGACGCTCTTGTCAGATAATAGAACTTTGTGACACCCTTTACTATTTGTTATACAAGTGTAAACAAGATTCATTTTATCGAGAATATTTTTGGGCACCCCCAAGATGTCATTAATCAAAATGATACGTTTCCACAATGATAGAAAAAACCCGCGACTTCTTCAAAAATAAAAAGAGAAAAAGAAAAAAAATACCAAGCTGACTTAGCCAAAATCGGCCAAACCACGAGTCATATTAGAGATGATTGGATGATATTCAATCATGGACCATTCGACCAGAAAA